AATTATTTACTTCCTTTGTTTCATTGGCAAATGGACGTCTTGAAGTCGGTGTATCTATTTTTGATCCTAGCAGTGGCTCAGAGAAATTGTGTATATAATTTAAAGGCCAATTAATTTTCTTCCAGTTTTGCACAGTCCATTTTCCGATGACCAAAGTGTTGAGGAACATTGTTTGACACACTCTTGATAATATATCATTTTTTTTAATTGTACGCAAATGAGCAGGATCTCCTCGACTCTGAAACTTGTTTTCGATTCCTGAGTCTATTTGGTAGGGATATTTTTACCATCAACGAACATTTTTTGTCAGCCCACGTCATTTCCCAAAACCGTTGAAATATAGTTCTTCTATCATCTTCAGTGAAATCTGTGCACTGTAAAATGCTTTTCTATTTTCGATGACATTTGCACCGGGCTGTCATTATTCGTCTCTCCTTTGATATACGCTTCATCCATGTATCTGTATCACACGATTTTTTTTTACCCGTATAGCTTTGTCCTTTTTCGCGATTCATTTGATTTTTTGTGCGTTCCTAGTGTTTTCGATCTACCTGGCAACGCTTTCGCCTCTTGACAGCTCGTGGAGCTTGATTTTCTTCTTCATCTGGATATGGTACTAGAGTTAATAAATCTCTTCGTTTCTTTGAAGGTGGTTTACAATGTTTTGTGGTGTGTTTCCTCAGTTCGGTACACATCAACACAGTACAGCACATCGAATCAACAACATAAGTCCTTCCATCATTTTCACATTGGAGAAGAAAGTCCACAACGAATCGCCTTTCTTAGACGTATTGGTGAAGAGGACCGACACTGAATAGGAAACATCTGTATATCGACAACCCACTTACACAGGACAGTATTTGAACTAGAAATTCAACCACCATCAATAGTCTAAGAGATGAATCATCCAGACTCTACTAGACCGACCTTCCGGGCTCTGTAATGCAAAGAAAGGTCTCGAAAAGGAAATAGGTATCATAAACAATGACCCTCAACGGAATAGTTACTCCAGAGTGATGGTAGAACAGGCTTTAGCTAAAAGACAGAAAGAGCTCCACAAGGAAGAGAAGCCCCCACAACCAGCACTTGTACTTCCCTACATCAGAGGATTATCGGAAAGGATAAGAAGGATTGGGTCCAAGTATAACACCAGGACCTGCTTTAGATCTGGGAACACTATCCGTAGCAGCTTCACAAAGAGCAGACCACCAAACGCGGACTGCGTAAAACGATTAAATCAATTTATATTATATTAGACAATGAAAGTCCGAACTGATGAAATAAAGTCTCTTCGTGTAGCAGTCACATTATCATTCAATTATCTTGAAGTATTTTCATTTGAAGTATCTCCATTTAAGGTACTTAAACCAGATCCAGACCAAAGGTCCAAAGAAATTCAAAGGTCAAATCGGTGAGTTCTGGACAATCTCGAAAACTTGGCAGCAGTTGATTAATACCACTTCGTTTTCCGAAACTTATTTTCCTGATGAGTTGTATCACTCTAAGTTTCCGTTATAACTTCATTACATACATATGCTAGTCGGCAAAAACTGTGGGAAGACCATGTATGGAGTCCGGATCGTTCAGCTGAGAAATTAAAATATCATTTTTTCCTGCCCTATTTCTGAATTGCATTGTAGTGCTAGTGCAACTATCTTTTTTGAACACGACATCTGAAAAAAAATCGCATTGGATCCATTGAATTGAAGCTTTAATCAGAAGAAAACAAATCGTTTTTTACAAAATAATCAATAATAGCAATTGAATTTCAAAATAGTTTTAATTACAACGCTACAAACAGAAAATCTCCTATGTTCTTTATCGGTGATTTTCAAAGCACCAAAGTACTTTTCAAGTCCATGCCGCGCCAATAATGAATAGATTGTTAACCTACTTAAAATATTATCCACCGTAACAAAAATAGATATTTTGATTAGTTTTACTCACCTTTATGACGTTTCCATATTGTTCAACAATTTCAAATTACCCAAATTTCAGCAAATGGCATAAGTTCTAACTTGTACCTCGTACAGCTACCAAACTCATACTAAAATGACAAGTTAGGATTTGGGCGATCTGCGTATGTCTTGTTTGAGTCAGGGCTTAGCGGTTTTTCGTGCAAGTGATTTTGAAAACTCATTAAAATGATTTTTGATAAAATTGGGAGTTAGGAGGTCTGCGAACTAAGTCATCGATATACGACTTTGATATATTTTAACGAAATGAGGGAATTGTTATCTGAAAAATTCTTTAAGATAACAGTTTTCAAGATAAACTCGATCTCAAATCACCAAAAAAGTCTGTTCATCTGTCACATGAATTTCGATTATTTGTAGAAAATCACGTCCTGCTCACTTCCCAGTTCTATTCTATACTTTCATGAAGGAACAGTGAAATACATTTCTGAAAACGTTCATCTGAAAAACGATGCCAATAATCGAGAAACGTTGTAGAAAGCAATATTTATCGAAAAGAGAGTACGACAAAAGCAAATAACTGCCAAAGACGCAGTCTCAGCAATTCCCAGTAGTGCCTGATTTGCATTCATAAAATGAATATAAGTATATCATAACAATTGAGTGAAATGTTCTTTTCAGTTCTGAGTATGCTACGAATACTGTTCGAAACCTGAATGCACTCCAACAAATGTCTCACGAAATTTCAAAAATAGAATTGAAATGACCATGTGATTTATTGCAAATATATTGACGGAAAAATAATGTAAGTTGAACGCGAGATTCTCTATTTACACAACTCTCTAGACAATCATTTGTTTTAGAAGTGGCAAATATTAATCTTTTCACATATAGTCAGTAGGCATACTTGAAGACTGACTATAAATCATATCATCTAAAGGAACAATTCCTTCACGCCAGTCTCAACTTCCTACAATGTAGGTTAATGGACTGACACACATCAAAAAACAACTGCGGTAGTTGTATCGCCAACAGCATATGCAGGAATAACTTCAGAAGAATCCTGCACTGACACATGTCGGATATTATCCAACGGCCTTCATGTTATTAGCCAGGGGATTAGTTGTCTTTTGATGGGTGTCAGGGTGTCAGTCCATTAACCTATAGTGTATCAACCTATAGTGCATTAACCTACAGACTGCTCTGAACGAATTGTTCTATTAGATGATTTGATTTATAGCCATTCTTCAAGTAAGCCCATTGACTATATGTGAAAAGTTTTTTTTAATTTCAAAAATAACCGCATCAACCGCGAAGTTATAAAGTTACAAAATATTTTCCATATACATATAAGACACGTCACAAAAAAAACAAAAAAAATCCAGCTAAAGTCTTTCAATTGTAATTTTGTCTACGTGAAAATATAAAGAAATCGTGACATTGTTGGATTTCACAGCATGGTGAAATAATCAATAATTCATAATTCGGCAAAACGACAAACAGCCACAGTTCGTCGCGCATTTCTGATATGTACCGCTCTTTGTGGAATCAAATGTGCCAAGTCACTTGAACACCTCCCGTGAGAGTATATATAAAGAAGAGACTTATCTCCAACCCTTCTTCGATGTTCCAGACTCTCAAAATTGCAAGCGATGGAATCCAGCAGCTTCAGGGTATGCTTAGGGGCGGAGCTCCATACAGAAGAACAGTACCTGAAGAAGCTTTATGAAGCATCAAAAGTTGCTGAGGCGTGTACAGTTTTCTGGTTCGAAACAGTGTTCCAACCTTTTGGGAAGCAGCCATTGCAATTCCAGCAATGTGATTTTTCCAAGACATATTGGTGTCTATTTCAACCTCCAACAAACCTATCGGAGCAGAAAGTGGAATTTTTTGTCCTATCTGGTTCGGAAACATTTGGGTTTGGGTTTTTGAGGCATTAAATTGAACCTGGTTACTTTCAACCCAATTCGAAATCATCTCTAGATCCTCATTAAGATATGTAACCTTCTGCTGCCGGTGAAGCTGTGAATCCGCAGCCAATATCCTGGAATCCAAACGGAATGACGAGACAAGTGTGCTGTCGTCAGCATAGCAATATATTGGGTTCTTGGTTTTTTTTACAGTGAGTCGTTGATATATAATTAAAAGAGGGTTAGAGACAATGTGGATTCCTGGGAAACACCAGCGTTAATGGTAAAAGTATTCGTGAGATATCCATCGACGGTCACTTGCAGGGAGCGTTTTTTCAAGACGCTGGAGAGTCATACACGAAAATGATAACAAGCCATAGTATCGAAGTTTTGCCGGAAAACCCATATGCCACACACGGTTAAAGTATCAAGAATCAAAGTATCAAGGGCAACAGCTCTCTACTCTTCATTTTTATCGATTGCATTATTCAAAATATGGGTGACATACGATAGAAGGTGTTGATCTTTGTTTCCGAAAGACATATTGATGATCGCTCAAGATGTTGAAGCCTTCCAAATATCTAAGGATATTTTGGTTTACGGCTTTCTTCATGATTTTTGATATCACTGATGGCAAAGCGACTGATCTGTAGTCTGTAAGTCTATATTGTGAATTTCAACACAGCGTTTTCCAGATGGATAATCTTTCGTCAAACTCTCTTTTTCCCTTCCAAATAGTGAAAGTAAACAAACGAACGTTATTGTAACATCAAAATAACAAGATAGTTTTAATTTATATTGATAAACAGAACTAGTTTCGTATTATTTTAGCATTGCCAAGTTCAAAATAAATATTAGTGACGCAACCAACTTTGAAGGTGCAGTTCTGGTGTGTAGAAGTACTTATTGTTCGTTTTGGAGCCAATCACTTTGTCGCAAATTTACTCTGAAATATATTAGCAAACTTCAGTTTCTGGTAAATTTTCATCGAAATAGCATTACAAAAATTTCTCAAATGATATTTCTTAATCAGAAGTGGGTAAAAAGTCATCAATGAATATAACTAATTCATACATTTCATGCTAGACCGATGTCTATTCTCTTCTTGCCATGAATATCGAAATATTGACTGGTACTTCATGATAATAATTGAAATTTTCATTTTTTTTTCCAGAATTCTCAGTCCAATACATGGTCTGGAGATCATATCATCATAATTATGGTCATTTTTTCCTTAATCCTGACTGGAATGTGTATGACGTTTGTTTACAATTGTGTTACCAAGATAATAAAGGACCATCGAACAATTCAGGTGAGTCGTTATGATATTGCTGTTCACTTCATACTTATGTTGTGACGTATTCAAAAAATGCCGCATTGTAATCTTTTCTTTCCTTATACGAGGAATTGGACAAATTTCGAATATGCGGTTGGNTTTTTTGTGATTTTTACTATCATTCTTTCAACAAAATAAAATTAATAAACCACCACCTAAAACGCAATGAAATAATCTGTTTCTCAGCTCCGGAATATTAACCTGAGCGTAAGTTATTAGCTAGGGTTACGTTGATATTATGTTAGTGGGGTTTTATTTACTCAAAACATTAGGGGATGCGGCAAAATAATTAACTATTTCAGCTTAGAGAGCAGTTGGTAATGTTGATTTATTCAAGTGAAATGTCATACAAAATTCAAAACCGACCAGATTATATTGATAATCGACAACAAAAATTCAACGAAAGAGTTGAACCGTGTATTAAACTTTGTTGTAATCAATGTTTCAGATTCATTATAAAACCATAGTTTTGAAAACCAGTATTGTCTGTCATATGCAAGTGTTAAACATATTGTGATTTCAATTTTCAAGTCACATCACTCTATCTGGCTACCGAACAGATGGAGTTGTGAAAGAGCGTCATCTGCTCCTGATTTTCCACAAATTAAACATTGGTCGGCGGATTCAACCCCTCGATTATTTTCACTCTGGCAAAAAAATTGTCTGACCCCATTGGTCCGGTCAACTCACATTTGTACACTTACTTGTTGTAAAGTAGTCAAGTGGTTATGAATTACCGTCAAAATACAATCAACACAATAGATTTACTAAGATTTACAGACACCAAAAATTTTGAAAAACGTCCACCATTCTTTGGAGGATATCAGCTATCTTCCAGACGATGATCATGTCATCATTTTGAGCTTGCATATCCACTGTAGAGAACATCAAGCAGAGGGGATATTAGCCTGCCCTGAGATCATCCGCTGATGACCTTAAACCTAACGGCCCCATCTTGAAGTGTCATAGTTTCAATTTTGTTCACCAGTAGTGTCATATACTACGTCAGTAGTGTCATTTCCTACATCATTAGTATCATATGCTACGCAGATATCTCAACAGTTAATTCTCAACATTTGGAATTTCAAAACCTAGGAATAATTCTCTTTTGATTTTTTCATATGAAGAATGGTCATCACATATTCTCAAATTAGCAACATATTATTGTTTTGTTTCTCTCTTACGATGAAGAATTAATCTTGAGTTGAATCATGATGAATCTGAAGTGAGTGGATTTATTAGACCCTCTACTGAAACCCGCAAGGGTTCATTGCGATTCACACATTCACAAAAGAGACCAAATGTGGCCAAAAAGTGAAATATCTTCCAGTTCAAATCGCAATAGTAGAAATCTGCCAAACTCTGAAAACCCTATTCGAACCATAGCGGAGTAGACGCATAGTATGTGTTCTACTGTTTCATCATTTTCTGAACGAAGACGACACGCACTCTCTGCCGTGAGTCCAAGTTTCTGCACATTGACAACATAGTTCACCACTACTATAGTATAACAATTGTTTGTTGTTTGATAACATACTGCGAAGGATCTATAAATGCTTTGGAATGGACCAATCCTGGTAGATTTTGCCAGAAGTCAGAAATTGTCTTGCAGTCTAGGTTGTACATTGTGGATTTGGCAAAGCCTAAGCGATGCCAGTGACATGTTCTGGTCCAATGAAAGTTATTCCAGTGCCTTCTCTTGCAAGGGAGTTAGTAGCAGTGTGGCCAGGAATCCTCACCAAATAATTCCTTATGGAGTGTTTTAAGACGGTTCACTTCCAACTCAGGCCTTGCTCGGTGAAAGCAAAATATATTTCTGATAGATTGTTTGGCAGACAAATCCATTCGAAGTAACTAAATGAATTCTTTCCTCATCACATATTTTTTTCTTCAAAACAGAAATTCATAATAAATGATTTCGATTACGATCCTAGAACTCCGATTCAATACGAACACCTTATTTGACGTCAATGCAAAATATCATGAGTTATGACTCAGTTCTGTTTTGTCGATTTAGCATAATAGCTCATTACATATTCCGTGGTTTCTGTCCGAACAGCAGTTATGCTTCATTGAACCTTCTCTTACTGAACTATATTCCTTAATTATTCCACTGATCAGCGTCGGATACAGGGCTAGAAGAGAAAGTGGCGACATTGGAAATTTGGAACAAGAATTTCTAAATGTGATGCAAAAAACTCTAGATACAAAGATGAGAACATTTATTTAGTTTTTGTGACATCTAGAAAGTATAAAAAAAATCATTGACTGACCAATTATTTTCTTTGCTATGTACTGGGTCTTGTCTTCTTAAACTGAATAACTAATCGGTTCGAAGGGAAGCAAAATTTTAGGTTGTTACTCAAATTTTATGTGTATCAATATGATAATGTATTTCATACACCGCTTCAAAATCGTTCAATTTGATGATAAAATATTTCATCGGTTATTTTGTCTATGTACATATATTATAGCTACTAAAAGCCAATTGTTGCTTTTGTGGGATCAAATAATGATACTGATAATGTACATACATAAAATTACTATCATCATTTTCAAGTACATCATACATAATGAAAGAATATTACATGCTTACTGGTTAGATTCTTATAATACTTCCAACAGTCTAACTCACACTAAACACTGATCGTCTGTCCGACGAGAGAGGAGGAGCCTGCCTTCCACTAACGTATGAGTGAGAGAAAGGGAAGCTAGACAAACTGGCACGTTAGGCGTTAGGTAACGAATCGGTTTACCCTCCCATGAAAAAGATTACTTCAGATAAACATCCAAGTTTTTCAGAAAGAAATATTTGGACAATAAATTCAAGTGGGATTTTACTCATTACCAATCTCGAAAAATATCCCAAGTAAGAATTGAATGGGAGGGAAACACCAGGAAATATTACCATCGTGGACGATGTATCAATGATCGACCGAAATTTGTAGAGCTGAATATTACCACTAAAAACAAAAACGATCGGCCTACCAGAACGAATTAGTGATATTAATCATTGCTAGGACGCTTGTTTCATGAAAAAAATATGCTACGAATTGAAATGTTCGTCTGTTCCACATCATAAACAATGATGTGACAGTGTATTTTCAGTCAATAGGATATGAGGATACGAGACAATTCAAAAAATAATCTCATGGTTTGAAATACCCAAAAAAAAACTCCAACTTTCAATTCTCAAACTACAATTTGAGTAGTGTATGTAGGAGAGAAAGAAACAGAATAATATTCAAACTTGTTTAAATCAGATCTCAGAAACAGTATACGATTCAATACCAGTCAGTTCATTGTCGGACTTAACTGTCCTCAAAAGACGAGTCAGAATAGTAAAAGTCGAATCTCATTCGGCAGTAGATGTCAAAACTCAACTTTGCACCGTACTGCCTTCTGAAATCTCGGTCATCACTGAAATTCCTGGCCTGAGTCTTCTTTTGTGTGGCGACATTTTGCAACATAAAATAAACTGGGAAAAGCAAAACAAATAACCAACTATCTAATATTAACACTACTTCAAATTTGTGTTGGTCGGTGGTTCAAGCCCTAGTCTGAACGATCGATTTTCACGTGCTATCTTCCAACCCGTGTTAGGAATCACACGTTAAAAGGTAAGACCTCGTTAATCCCTAACTCGCAAAAGTTTCGACTTCTGAGGGTTATCGTTCGTAGGGGTGTGATATTTTATGAAAATTTGATTGCAAGAGCTGAGGAACTAGATGCTGAGAAATGAATTTATAACTGGTACGTAGATTATTCGGTAATATTTTTTCATTATTGGAATATTCAGTGAAAAATTTAAATTCATAAATACCTATGTCTCATATCAAATCATTCTCTTTGAGCTGATGAAATACGTATTTTTTATTTCATTTTCATAAACTTCACCTCACGATTTGATCTACACAAACGTTCATCAAGTAACAGCTGAATCAATCAGAAAATCATGTATTCATGACCGTCGTCTGAAATAACGTTTGTTTTGAGATGTTACACATACATTTATTTCTGTATTGAAATAATTGGGAAAACATTAAACATATTTTCGAGTTGATGAAACACGTCCGAAGAAGCCATTGTATGGCGAAACACGTGTTGCGTTTTTGTAAAACTGTTTAGTGAAAATCTCAAAACAAATTGTTTTTTATGCGTCCATTAGTAGTCCGCCATTGTTGAGACGCTCCAGCTTCTCTGGTACCTTTTTTCCATCTCCTTAATATCTTGGCGATATCGTTCACCTTTGCACAAGAGCCTTTTAGAATGCAAGGTTTGGGTACGCCGGTCGGTAAGGTGACAAGAAAGGCATTGGCAACACCACCAAGCGACAATTTGTATTTCACTAGTAATGCTGGATGACAGTTATATGGCTTCGTTATTTGGAGTGTCTGAAATAAAATATGCGTCTCAGTACGGACATTTCGTTACAATGAGTTATGATACCTCTCAAGGCCACATGGCCTAAAAACGTTATTCACTAAGCAAGTAACCCTTTCAATCACAATTACATACCTAAAATAAAATATGCGGGTGCAACATCCCATGGAATGCATATTTCTTTGAAAACCCAAAGCAATCTTCTATCATTCGACATTTTCAAATTTCCGTACCACACTCCTAGAAAAAAAAACGGCTCATTTACTTCAAGACATGGAAAAACTAACCTCACAAAGAGAACGAATATTAAACAAGCGAAACGCGCTGCGCCCTCCATTTCCCTCCTGCCTAACTTTGTACTTATAAGCTGATGGGATGGGTTCTTCAGCAGTACCCTACGTATCGTACTACCATTGTGTGCGGCAGGAATTCGTTAAGAGATGGCACGGTGACGTGAAGTCGCTTTCAATTGAATAAGCGAAATGAACTTTGGATCCGTTAAACCTTGCTCTTCACTCACATCTCCTGAAGTTTCTGGAGAGTAGTTGAGGTGGGAATGAAGAAAATATACTTTTAGGCAACCTCAAGCATGA